TTTGTCGTTAACAAATAAAAATAATAAACAAGGCTGGAAAGCTTTGAATCTTCAAAAGCTTAGAATCAGTGGTAGCGTTTTTCGAAAATTAATAAGCGTTTCCACCCCCTACCTTGCATTAAGGACTCGAGAGTAATGATATTTGCCTAAATGAAATATATTGTGAGTCGTTATGCAGTGAATGTTGTTATACAAAAAAAAACAAAAAAAAAAACACAATTATTAAGAATATATATATAAAACAATCTGATATTTTTAAAAAGGTTAAAGATCATTTAAAAAAATTCTAACCAAAGAGAATTAAACGCGGAAGCATGTTTACAATAATTCGACCTAAACACTAATATAATAAATCATTCATCAAGAAAAAATGTTAAACATTCTAATTTTTTACCTTTTTCTAACGGAACGCACTCTTGTCAAACCCCTATTCCGACGTTGAGCGTCCTTTGCGTCCGCGAACTCGTGTTTCTAGGAAAAAGGCAAAACGGGGTATATAGGCATTTGCGCAGCGGTGCGCACATACACCAACTAATTTTTAGAGAGAACATGCAGCGGAGTGTGTAAACAACGACTGAGGGTTTGGGGTGGGTAGGTTCTCTTTTAAATGAAGAAGTCGTTTTTTTACATTTTCGGAGCTTAAGGACAGCGTCGGAATAAGGGTTTGACAAGAGAGCCTACCTTTTCTAGCAATAAACATGGCAACAAGAATAACCAAAAACTCCTCCACTTTTCTTGATAACATTTTTTTTTTCATTACTTTTTAGGTTCCCCAAAAAGACCAAACAGTCTTGTCACAGAACACCGCAGAAATGCATTTAACCAGAAAGTTCATGCATCCTTTCTTACCGTGACGCGAAAAAAAGTCCAAAGCTTTTTTTGGACCTGAATCTCCTGCTTATAAAACAAGCGCTCTAATTACTGCGCCACGACCGTACATAACTTAATAACGAATAACTTTGTGATGACCAGCTGCATAGTGGTATAATCAAGAGTGACCTTTCTGATCATTTATCTTTATTCTCAGTTTCCAATTCCATAATACTTAGTGGATATGCATCTAAAAAGAATATTTACAGGCAACTGATGAATAAAAATTCTCACAAAGTTTATAAAACATTTTTAAAAAATTGAGCGTTTTTTATTATTTTTGGGATCTTATTTAAAAGTCGCAAGAGGTAAGTTATGTATACGATTTGTTTTTTAAACGGTTCTGCAAGTTATACGAAACAGCGTTTTGGTAAAAAAAGTTTGTCATTGAAACCAAGTCTCTTCAAACTCTACGACTATCTAACAAAGAACAACATGCTGTATAAAAAACAATTTGGTTTCAAAAAATGCATTTAACTAAACACGCCGTAGACGAGCAAGTCAACAAGATGTCTGAAGCTCTAAATAACAATAATTATACATTAGGAGTTTTCATTGATCTAAAGTCTTTGATAAAGTAAACCATGAATACTGCTAACTTAATTTAAAAACTATGGCAGTAGAAGCAAAAATTTACTTTGGTTCAAAAACTACTTAACAAACAGAAAACAATTCATATGCTAAGTAACAGGTAAATACTGTGGAATTCCACAAGATCCTGTTATATAAAAACATGCAATAAATTATTATTTTTTTTTTTTTTTTTTTTTTAGTGTAATTTATTTCGCCGTTAAAAAATGTTTACATTGCATATACATTTATATAAATTGATGGCTGGAGCAAGAAGAAGGCACATTTCGCCTTATCGCCGAGCCCCATTAAAAATTCTACATAACCGTAACATACAAATATATATATAAAAGAAACAATTAGAAATGAAATAGAAAATAACTAATATAATAAAAAAAATAAAAAATAAGAATTAATTAAGAAGCGTTAAGATGCTTAACAGTTGCTAAAATGTTTAAGAAATAAGTTAATATAAAAAAAAAAAAAAAAAAAAAAAAATCCTGAATATAAAAGAAATTGAAAAAATAAAATCTCATAATTAACACTAAATGAATATGTAACACCATCACTTATGACATCATCACTTGTGACATCATCACTTGGATTTCTTATTCTTTTTTTTTTTTTTTTTTTTTCTTTTTTTTCCTTTTTCTTTCTTTTCTTATTCATATTATCATATATCATTGATATAATTGAATCTGTTTTTTTTTATTTTTTTTTATTGTGTTTACTTTAAAATAAACATTTAAAGTCGGATTTATTGAGATCCATGAACAATAATAATCGTTTTGATTCATCCTTAAATTGCTCTAATGTAGTCTGCTTTTTGTTAACAATATCTGGAAATTTCTTCCACAGATAAGGTCCGCGGTATTTAATTGAATAGGAAGTTAATTTTAATTTATGTTTTGGAACAACAAAATTGTTTTCTGAAAACTTTGTTGAGTACCTATAGTTAATTTTATTAAAATAAGATTGAAATATTTTAGGAGACAATTCCTTTTTTGTTTTAAACATAAACAATAAAACTTGGTGTAAATTGAGTTTATATACATTTAAAGCACCGAGCACACTTAGAAGTGGCTCGCAAGGAACATTTCTGTCGGCTCCAAATACTATTCTACATGCATGTTTTTGTTTATTGTAGAGTTTCTTTAGTTTTGTATGGCTAGTACTAGCCCACACAACATTACAATAAGACAAATAACTGTGAATAAAGGCGAAATATAATTTTTTCAGAGATGATATATTTAGAAAGGGTTTAGCCCTAAACATCATTGCAATATTTTTTGAGATTATTTTTTTAATGCTATTTATATGTGAACACCATTTTAAATTTTCATCCAATTTTACTCCTAAAAAGTTTATGTAAGATTCCCTTTTAATATAAGTTTTATTAATATTAAGATCTGGTAATTTAAGAGGAATATTTTCTGATTTATTTACTTTATGGAAAAGCATATATTTTGTTTTTTCCGCATTTAGTGAAAGTTTATTACTTACGAACCATGCACTAAAATTACATAACTGTTCGTTAACTATTTTAAAAAGCGATTTAATATCTCTGTGAGAACAAAAAAGATTTGAATCATCAGCAAATAAAACTAGGTCTAAAAGATTTGTTGATAGGTATAAGTCGTTTATGTACAATATAAATAAAAGTGGTCCTAAAATAGAACCCTGAGGAACCCCGCAAGTTATGGAGTGTGGAATTGTATTATTTTGATTATAGTATAAAAATTGCTTTCTGTTAGTCAGATAATCTTTGAACCAAAGTAAGTTTTTATTTTTTACACCGTAGTTTTCGAGTTTTTTTATTAGTATATAGTGATTTACGGTATCAAAAGCTTTTGACAGATCAATGAAAACTCCTAATGTAAAACAGTCATTATCTAAGGCATTAGATATTTGATTGGAAAGTTCAACTACTGCGTGTTCAGTGGAATTTTTTTTTTTAAAACCAAATTGTTTACAATACAACATGTCGTTCTCAGTTAGATGATTATAAAGTCTGTTATACATTATTCTCTCTAGCAATTTTGAAAAACAAGGTAAGATTGATATAGGCCTGTAATTTAAAATATTTGACTTATCTCCAGATTTAAAAATTGGTGTTATACGGGCAATTTTTAATTTATTAGGAACAATACCTGACTTTAATGAGAGATTGAAAATGTGAAATAAAGAAGGTTCAATGACTTCAAATACTGATTTGACAACATCAACACTAATTTTATCAAAACCTTCACTTTTTTTACTTTTTTTACTTTTGAGACTGCTAAATGCAGTTCTCAACTCACTCAGTTTTAAATCAGTTTCATCCATAAGTTTATCATAAGTTTTTAAGTGTGAATCAAATGGAATGGAATTAGTAGAAATTTTAGCAGCCAAATTCGGGCCAATATTAACAAAGTAGTTGTTTAGTTCTTCAGCTATAATTGATTTTTCATAAACTAATTCTCCATTAATTAAAAAATTTTTTGGCAGAGTGCTTTTGTTATAATTATTTTTTCCAATTAAATCCTTAATTAAATTCCATATTTTTTTAGTGTTTCCGTTGGTTTTCTTTAATAATTGATCATAAAATAGTTTTTTTGAGTATTTTTTGATTTTTTCAAATATATTTTTATAATTTTTTTAAGTTATTTCATTTTTATAAGTTTTTTTTTTAAGATATTTTATATATAATTTTTCTTTCTTTTTTGAAGATTTTAGTAAGCCTTTCCTTACAAAAAAACCCAGCGAACTTCCAGCGAAAGTTCGCTGGAAATTAAAAGATCACTGAAATTTACTAAGATCACTGGGTTTTCGCTGGATTTCCATGGAAACATAAGACTTCGCTGGAAGTTCGCTGGAAATCCAACGAAAAACTTCCAGTGATCTTAAAGTTCGCTGGAAGTTTACTGGGTTTCTTGCGTAATATTTCGCGGTGATGTAAAAAGCGTTGCTGTTACAACTTCTACGAGCGGCTATTTCCTGAGATCAGATCCCTGTTTTGATTGGACGAAAAATTTAACTTGCATTAGGTCCGATAAAATGTTTATCGTTAGCCGGATTTTAGGAGTTGTATATGAATTATTAGTAAAGCGCATATGATATATTGGAGATAGATATTTTAGATTGAGGACTGCTTGTAACTAGTTTTTTGTCCAATCAAAACAGGGATCTTATCTCAGATCGCATATAACCGATGATATATTAGGAATAACTATTAGATAAATAATAAAATTTGTTGAAGGATAAGAATTTTTCTTAATATATCATTGCATATAACTAATTAATTATACGAGCTTGTTGCGCATTTTTAATCTTATATAATGTATGATTGAACTAAATAACTTGATATAATTTATTTTTAAGATTAATACAAATATAATACTATAGTTTTTATTATTAATTTAATAAAATTAATGGACCAATGATACAACATCAGTTTTTGCTACGTCTGCTAACATTTTTCCAACAACATCTGTTTTATAATGATGTATAACTACATCTGTCCAACAACATCTATTAATACACTGAGGTATAATAACATCTGTCCAACAACACCTGGAATTTAGGTACGCCGATATCCGCGTTTTACGGAACCGATAAATGTGCTAAAATTCTGTGCCACGCTTTTTGAAGTTCACATTTGGAGAGGTAGGTTGTGCAGTGTTTTGTTGCCTTGTTTTTTAGAATTTCATATTAACATAGATATTTTTTAAAAACTAGAATGATTATACTTTATTAATATGTGTCTTTTGATTACTATTACGTACTTTGTAAGTTGATTTATTGACATACAAAACTTTGTTGTACTTTGTGCATCCAGCAAATATTGAAGATATGGACAGCAATTAACTATCTTTTGCAGCCATTTAAGTTTACACATTTTTTATTTGTCTGCCAAATTTCGTTGAAAAAAAATGGGGCGCAGGCAGTCTATTTTGGGGCGCACTTTTGGTACCTATTTTCCTTAATCTGAAATCATTTGCGGGCAAAGGGGGGGGGGGGTGCAACACAATTAAAATTCTTTTAAGTTTAACAAAATAAAACTTTGTAAACTTTTTAATAATGTTATATATTACTTTTTTTTAGATAAAATGAGTGAAGATATTAATTAAAAATTAATCTCTTCACTCATCTTATCTACAAAAAATACTATTTGCATAAAAGATAACTAATAAACAAATTGAAAATGAAAATAAAAATATTTTATAATCATACAATGAAATTGTATGTGTATTGTAGTAAATGGTAGTATTTATGTGAAAAGCTATTTACAGGTACTATCTACACTAATTATAGACATTGTAATGTTTTTTTTTTTTAAATAAACATTTATTTGAAAAATATTTTTGTTTTATGTTTGCTTCAATAGCTTTTTACAACAAAATTGATTAAATTTTTTTAATTTACTTACCTGTTTAGTAGTTTTTATAATACTTTTAATTGTTGGTTTCAAAATACTAATACTAACGCAAGAAAAGTGTAATTTTAATACAATTAATTTTTGCTTAATTTTCAAATAGTTTATTGGGCTACATGTTTACTTTTTGGTCATAACTATGTTGTATGTATATTGATATAACTTTTGGTTTAGTTACATATATTAATACCATAGTTACATATATTAATTTATTATATTTATTGATATTGTCAAAAATAAATATACAATTATTTTTTCTTTAGATTTTTTAAATATTAAACTAATATATCTCATGGTTATTACTTAATATGGAAATATTTTGACTTGCAAAATTCGTACCAGTTATTCTGAGTGGCAAACAGGTACTGTTATTGTAAGTGTCAAAGTGAGTGGTAAGGATCATTTAACTTTTTTTTAGTGATATACATATTTAAGACAAATAAACTTGTAACCTATTATTTAAATATTATTTTTTTTTGATTTGTTTTACATTTCTAAATTTATTAAGAAACTCATCAGTTGTAACTATTTAATGCTTTAATGGTATAATGGGTCGACACATATTTAAAGGAGAATTCAAAAAACATTTAATTAGTAATTTTACATTGCCATCTAACACAAATATTGGGTGCATGAATGGACACGTTCTGTTTCTTTATACTAGCAATGGTGAGTTGTTTAGCAAAACAGCTGCAAAAGTCAATGAGCATTTTAACTTGAATATTTGCTCCAGTCATATCAAAAAAGTAGTGTACATAGCCAAAAACTGGTCTAAAAATTTTTTAAGAAAATATGAAAGTTGTGTTGCATTTTGTAATGAGCCCTTTATAAACCGTGAACCACTGATTACAATTTTATCGCAGCCTATCTTAAGTAACACTAATTACACAATATCACATTCTTCTGTTTTATCATTGTCAGAACACAGCAGTGTCACATCTCTGATACGTAATGAACCTTCATGTTCTGCTGGACATGAAGCAAATTTAACTACTAGACAGACTTCAATAGAAAAATTGAGCCCTAGGAAGAAAAAATTAACTAACCGGTTGTCTCATTTGTCTTCTAGATTAGCAATTTCTTCAATAGAAAATCGTAAGAAGATAGCTTCAATGAAAGCAAAATTATCCAGCCTGCCATATAAATTAAAAGTTCTAAGGCAAAGTGTTAAAAAAAAAGAAGATATTATAAAAGCCTTAAGAGCTCAGGTTAGAGACTTAAAACATAAAAACCAAACATATTATTACAGCAGGCAAATTCGCAATCTTATTGCATCAAAAAAAGCAATAAAAATTAAAGAGAGAGAAAAGTTTAGAAAGTTAGCTCTCAAACATAATGCTGCGATTAGAAAAAATAATACGGATATTACTAGCTTAGAAGATAGTTTGACCCAAATGGACGAAGACAAGATAAGTATTACAAATACAACTGATTGTAAAAGCTATCCATTAAAAATGAGAATGATAATATACTGCATGTTATTGTGTAATGTCCCAACAAGTAACATTCCATTTCTAGTAAGCAAAATTGGGCAATATTTCAGTGTTATTTTTTCTCACATTCCTTGTCGTAGCACTATTGAGCAAATGGCTCGTGAGCTTGGCAGTATTGCTGATCTGCAGGCAGCTGAATGGATCATTAGTAATACTCATCTTACTCTTGGGTTTGACGCAACTACACAAGAAGGTGTTCATATCAACAGTATTCACTTAACTTCAAATGATAAATGCCAGGTAATTGCTGTTGATCAATTACCAGGTGGGACAGCTGTGGATTATGCGAACCATATATGTAACGAAGTGGATCATACAGCTTTAGTATATTCAAACTTTCACTTGAAACCCTTTGAAGAATGTCGTCGTATGGTCATATCAAATATTTCAAACACAATGTCGGACAGAGTATCTGTTAACCATCTTACAATAAGAAAAATTGGTGAAACTTGGGGTAAAAGTCTCAATGAATTAAACTGTCATTTGCACCCTCTTGACACAATTGCCACATCGTGTCGTTCAGCATTAAAGTCTCTAGAGCTTGATAGCTGCGAATTATATGGAAATGATTGTATAGCTGCAAAAATTGTTTTGGCTATGAATAAGATGAGGTTCAAAGATGGTAAAGGTGACCCAAAGGGATTTGTTAATTTTTTAGACAATAATAAACTACCACGAGGTATCATTCCAAGGTATCGTGGAAATCGCCTTCACATTCTGTTCCACACTTGTTTTATTTTTATAAAACATTATAACAAATTTTTACATTTTTTAACTATAGGAACAGTAAAAATAAAAACTTTACAAAGGGTTCTGCGAGTAGCATTTTGTAATACAACTGCTATAAAGCAAATGTGTCTACTTGCTTTATTTGGAAAACTTCTTACAGGGCCGTGGATGACAATGTTTTATGTGTCATCTGAGAAAGCATATTTTGATCATGTTGGTGGTATCCAGATTGTTAAAAATGTTGTGCAAACAATTAAAGACTGCAAATGCAATCCAGCTGCAATATTTTGCAGAACAACAGATTTTTTTGGAAATGCTCTCAAAGCAAATGTGTTAGAACCATTAACAAAAATATGTAGAATTGATGACGAGCTCATTGCCATGATCTTGGCTTGCCTCAATGCAATAGAAGTGGTTTTAAATCGACAGTATAAGCGCTATTTTTCCATTACCATTACAGAAGCACTTGAAAAAGAAACAGCTAGTGCAAGGCTTCATAACATAGATAGTGAAGAGTTAATGGGAATGTTCAGTGCTGCAAAAGGAAGATCTCCTAATGCATCTATTGATTATATATCTTGCAAATTACGAACCAAAAAGAATGGGACAATGGATTATCTGGATAATCTTGATGACTTTTCTAGAAAAATGGTAGTTCAGTGGTCTATTCAGGCAGCACGTAAAAAACGAATAAAAACTCGACTACAACATACTGAAATTAGAGCTGAGATTTCTAAAAGACAGACTATAAAACGCCAAAAAATTGATGAAAAAGAAAAAAGAAAGTTAGAGCAACAATTAACATTATTAACTATTAGTGAAATTCTGAATTTGTTTAAAAACTTATCTACCAAGCAAATTGATGATTTAAATGATGTTATGTGTGAAAGAATTGTTGGGAGAAATCTTTGCCATGAATGGTATGATTCCGATACAGCAATGACAGTCTTGTATAATGGCAGAGTAGAAAAACTTAAAAAAGCTCAGAAAGATATTATATACACTATTTCTTATTGGACTAGAGAAGAAAATGATACTGAAGTAATATACTTAATATATAGTTTCATTAATGGAATTTAATATCTTAATCATTAACTAAAAGCCAAGACGCAAACTAATTAGAATAATATTATAAAACATTTTTTGTTTTTGAAATTCTTTTTTAGGTCAGAGGGGGAACCATCTATAACTATCACAAAGCATTGTGTGATGTATTTTGAGTTTTGGTAAAAGATGTTTTTAAATTAAAGTGTTTATTTTCATTGCATTTAAATATTTTTTCGAATCTCATTAAAAATAGCTTCTTTTTTTTAGGTTGTCAAAAAAAAAGGAAGAGGGGGGGCAACGACACGCCCCCTCGCCCATCTACACCCTTGAAACAAAGGGTGCGCTGCTAGTGATTTTGTATAGTAGTAAAATAAAATTTTTGATTTGAATACTAGATTTCTTTTTAATTATAAAGATAAATATTTATATAGAGTCATTTTTGATAATAGGGTGTATTAAACTATCACCCTTACATCCACCCAAAGGCAATGATGAGTCTTCTATATTTGATTGTGATCTGATAGCTAATTACAAAAACATCTTGCATATAAAAATTTACATTTTCATTAAAAGAAAACACTTTTTTATAAATATAGTAAGTCTTTATTGCCGGTAAGGATGGTGGTTTTGTGCCCCCTCTTACCCCCGGATGCGCCCGTTATCTAGAAACTTTTATAAATTTGTAGATGACTCTTGTATCTATCTTTTGATACCAAGATATAAACATTTGGATAAGAATTGGTTAAGTTATAATAATTTTAGTTAATAAAAACTTTATTTTGACCACAGTTTCTTCAACAAATCCTAATATCAAAAAATCGGTACTTAAAACGTCATAACTTTTTGTAGGGTGGTTCAATTTTGAAAATTTTTTCACTTTTATAATATTGACATTAAGCTCTTTTTAATGATATATAACAACCTATAATTTGATGAATTTAAAATTTTCATGTGACATACCTACTGGAATTTCGTTGAGGTCAAATAACATCTGTATAAAAAGTATGATTACTTCAGATGTAGTTACATCTTTTCAATAATATTGAAAAAACTACATCTGTGAATTCTATAGATTTAGTTGATCAGATGATCTTGGACTAATCTACAGGTGTAGTTGGACAGATGTATTAATCTTTTGCCAAATTAGTTCAGTATTAAATTTATTTGTTTATTTTAACATTTGGAAGAAATAAAAATTTTAGTATTTACATATAATGTAAATAAATATTTAAAATCAAATTAAATATTTGGTGTTTACATATAACAAGAAAGTTTATTTGAATACATTTATTTAACAAGAACTACAGCTTTAGTCAACAAATATTTTCTGTGCTAGTATAGATTGTGTATATTAAGAAACAGAATTATTTACCCACAGTAGCTTATACATAACCTACGTCATAGGTAGATTAAAAGCTTATAAAAATTATCTCTTTTTTTTTTTCTCTCTGTGTCTATATATATATATATATATATATATATATATATATATATATATATATATATATATATATATATATATATATATATTTGCTAATTAAATATAAATTTTGCACTATTTCTCAATTACCTTTTTTATTATAAGCATTCATAAAATACCATTATGGTAGAATAAAAAATAAAAATATATATATATATATATATATATATATATATATATATATATATATATATACATAGTTTATATATGTATATATATAAATATATTTTTTTATTTTAGGATAATGATATTTTATGAATGTTTATAATAAAAAAGGTAATTGAGAAATAGTGCAAAATTTATATTTAATTAGCAAAAAACCCTAATGTTTTTGTCTTCAGTTTGCTTTATTAATTTACTAATAATTAACTATAAACAAATGAAGCGAGTTCTTTTAAATAAAAAGAATTAACAACTAGAAATATTAACATTTCTTTGTATAACTGAAAAATAACAAATAAAGCAAGTTTATCAATGTTTAGAAAAACTTTGTTTTGAAAACATCATAAAAATTTAAATTAAATAAAATAGTTTTTGTACTAAGGTTTTAGGAGTTATTAATTAGTAATCATAAAAATTATCATAAAATTAAAGCATGCAAAAAGGGACAAACATTTTTTTAAAAAGAAAATCAGTATCTAAAACACACGCTGAGAAAAAAGTAAAAGTTGTGAAATAAAGATTTATAAAAAAACAAAGGAATTTTATAGAAGCGCTTTATAATTGTTTGTGGAATTGATTTGGGTTACGAAATAATATCTTTATCAACAATGCCAAAAATATTATTTCATAAATAGCAACATTGCTTATGTCTTTTATTTTCATTCTTATCTTATGTTGTCAGTTTAAACAGAACATTGCTTAGAATAGTTGTGTGAAGTGTTTTTTTCTAAAAAATTATTGCAATACCTTGTGAAGATTATTTTGTGACAATATTTCATTAATTACAAAGGTATGTATTTAAATACTCACATATATTTAAATACTCACATTTTTTAAATAAAAATATATAAAAAAAATTTTTTGTGGATAAGTTCACAATTTTATTAAATATTACCTTCTTTTTTTAGCAATGGTGAGGACATGTAATATTTTTCCCCGAAAAAAGATTTAATTTATGGATTATAAAAAATACAAGAATATCACAGTGTAAGATAGCTGAGATACTCAACATTGCTCAAAGCATAGTGAAGAGAGTGAAGCAAAAACTTGATTTTGAATTAAATCCAGGACTGACAGAAAAATTATAAATATTTGTCTTCAACAAAGAAAACTTTCAACTGATCAATTGATCAAGATTGTTAATGAAGAGGCTACATCGCTACATTTCCCAACAAACAGTCCAGAGACGTCTTAAAGGATTTGGTTTAACTTCACATTAACCAGCACAAATACTAAAGTTAGTGCCCATTATGGTGAAGCAAAAATATATAAAAACTTCACAGATGACTGGAAAAAAGTAATGATTTTTCAAGTCATGAGTCAACATTAAAGTATTCTACATGTCATGGTGTGATTTGTAATTAATTTTCAAGGTACTGGAAGGCTGCATATAGTAAATGGGACAATAAGACAAGATCAAGAGATAGTTAGTGATGGACTAATAGCACAATGGTTCCCAAATATAAAAAAATATATTTTTATGTATGATGGGACATCATGTCACAAGGTGAAAACCATTACAAAGTTTTTAAAAGAAAAAAAGATTGATGTCTTTGATTATCCCAGAAATCATCTGGATTTAAATCTGATTGAGAATGTATGTAAACTGCTCAAGCAGGAAAAACTAAAAAAGTTAGGTTTAGTGATGTGATTCAACATAATTTATAATTGTTTTAACTAATTTTTCTAATGGAAAATTGCATTGTTTTTAAAGTTGAAAATTAATATGTTAAAATTGTTTTTCTTTTTAGTGATTTTGAGCTTAGCTACTTACACTGTACTTTTAGAAATGATTTTATTAGTTAAACATCTGTCAGATGCTTATCTTTTAAATCATTAACTAAGTGGTCAGACATGAAAACCTTCAAATTAAAAGTCAACTTGACAAAATCAGTTAAAGGTAATTTAATTTTAAAATACTTATGTTATAAAATCTTTAACATTTAAAGTTATTGCAAATAAGGAAAAATAATAAAATAACTTTTGTATCAAAATGTTCTTTGTACATTGTTATAATTCAAATTGTTTTATGTTGATAGTCAAGTCAAAATATTAAATGGAGGGTAATTAGCGTACTTTTGATTTATTTAATTTTTTATGACTAAAATCAAAATACTGTAATATATTCATATATATTGTTTTAAGACAATGCTATGATAATTAGTTAATAGTTAAAAAAATAGTATGTGAAAAACTTAGACCTACCAAAAGTCTTTTTACAATGAGCCTTACTTCTTTTTTTTTTAATTTCTATTTTAATAAAGCATGTTGATAAAAAAAAAAAAAAACTAAATTTGGTAATACTAATTTGTTCCAGAGATAAGGAACAAATCTAGTCTTTTTTTTGACAGACATTAAGGTTGTTATTAATACGAAGATTATATTTGTTTTTTAAGTTTCAAACTTTAAAGATTTATAAATAAGCTAAAAAATTTCTTTTACAATTAGACATTAGGAATAAAATAGAATATTGGTAAAATTTTGTGCCATAAATTAATTTAACATATTTTTGAAGTTTTAAATTTTAATAATTACTTTATTAGGCATTCATACAACAGACCAAAAAATTTTAATTGGTGCTGAGAAACGCAGAGAAAAATTGCTGTCATCTGGCCATAGTATGAAAAGTGAAGAAAATTTTGTAATTAATTTTCTGTCTCTTAATAGTGGAATTTAAGTTTAATTATTTCTGGAAAATTTATATTTTTACCCTGCATTGAGTTTTGACTCATGACCTTATTGTCAGGTCAAAAATGACCTTAACTTTCATTTGAATAAAAATAAACGATCAAAATTTTGGTTTTAACAAACAACGCTTTGTTACAAAGAATTGTTACAAAGATAATAAAAAGTTAATATTAATTATAAGTGAATGCGTTCATCCAATTTATATCAACTCCAAATAAAAATAAAACTTACTCAAATAGTAATGCCTATTCTGAAAAAATATTTCAGATAGTATTTGTGATTTCTTTTTTTTTTTTTTAATCTAAGCTGTCATAACCAATAGAACTCTCAGGTTTTTAATGCAAAGTGGAATGGGAATGATAGGAGGTGGTGGGAGTTATTGTTCAACTTTAAAGAGGGTAAGGGGGCGATCTTATTTAAAAAGTTGATGGAAATTTTTCTTCAAATTGAGGAGCAAGGTTCCTAATGGCAGTGGGACTTTGTCTCCAGATGTAATTAAGCAGTGGTTTTTACTTAAAAAATGGTCTATAAACTAATAAAGAGGTAGATAAATTTTCCTGATGTACTAACATAATATCCCTGAAGAAAATGACTGAACTTTTAATTATAATATTATTAATTATAATAAAAAAAAATTTTAATTATAATAAAAATAAAATAAATTACCTGACTTTAAAAGTTACTTTACTAATTCAAAAATAACATAAGATTCATCCTTTACAACAGAAGTTATTAAATAAAATAAAGTTTTTGATCTTATTACTAATTAATCAGATATTGACAGATTATTAAGATTTGAAAGTACCTCATCGCGTGAGTTCAAAAGTGTAAAGAAAAGAAGCATGTTTTTAAAACAGGATTTCTTTTCAACTCTAAGTAATTTCAAGATTTTGAACTTTATAAATAAATTTAATTTGCCAGCTTATAATCAAAATCTTGTAATTCAAGGTTTCAGCAGAAAAATAAAATTAAAATCCCTGGACTTTTTGGGACCCTTTTCCTATTTTCAAGGATATAAAATTTTGTTATAAAATTCGAAAACTTTGCCAGGATATTTCTCAAATAATGAAAAATTTTTAAGGCCTATCAGAACTTTTCCTTAAAATTTGTGGATAATAAATTTCTTAAAAGTCAAAATATTTTTTCAATTGAAAGCAAACATTCAAAAAGATTTTAAATAATTTCACTTGAACCTCCATACTAAAACTAATAAATATACATTTAAGGCTTTTAGTT